TTGCAAGGTTGATTCAGAGTATATCTTCGCCTTGAGTGGGCCAGCTCATGCTCAGAAAAATGCTCTGGCGCAATGCCTGTCGCCAATCAGAACTGTCTTCTGTGGGAACCTTTGGTGTGACATGGCCGGAACCCTGGAGTGCAGCATACCGTTACCTGCATTCATGCAGCTTGACCCCATGTCAGACCGCTTGGCTGCCTTGGCATGCTGTCCTCTCTTCATGGTCGACCCTAAAGCCGACAAGATCGTTATCCCTTGGCATTCCCGTGGCCTTCTTGTTTGGAGCAGTTCATGCGCAATGTGCTTGGCTTCTTGGATTATGATTTATCTTTGATATTCTTTGAATTTCTTTGATGTTTTTGAGCTCTTTTGAGCTCTGTCTCTTGTTCTTGCTACACCTTGCTACTATTTGCTACTATAAAATGCTTTGACAGAGATGTGGATGACTGAAAAGAGCGGTGCTGCTTTGTAGAACCCCTTCAATTGCATTTTATAGACATGATATGAAATGAAATAGCTACAGATAGCTACAGTATTCTCTTTAAAATACTTAGTACATCTTAGTACTTTCTTGTGATATGTTTTGCGCCCTCTTCCAAATGGTCATGATTGGGCAGGCACCAGCCCTTCACGGTGCGCTCACTCTGGCCGAGCGCTGCGAAATCTCGCTCTGCGGTTTTCTGCTCCAGGACCTATGGAGCATACTCTCATCACGCCGAGAAAGCAAGTGTGGCCTGAAGAAAGGAAGCTGTCAAATGGCTCCTCAGACGCGAGTGGCGTTGCAGAACGTCAGTCTCACTATCGCTGCCATGACCAAAACCAAGCCTGACACATGGACACCCTTTGGCTGTCCGCACAGCTTGAGCGAGGTGCACATAGAGCGTCTCTTTGGGCAATATCGAAGTTATTCTTCTTCGGGGGACTTGAATGCACGGTCATTTTGGTCATCAGCAGCGGCACAGGCTCGACAGCAGCTGTTCAAAATGAAGACCCGAAAACGGGACAGGAATGATATTGAGAAGATTCCTGCATTGGATGATCAGCAGCCGCTCGCCTGTTAGTTTGCAATCAAACATTTGCAATATTTTGCAATACTTCTTAGATCTTGTTAGATCTGTTCAATCCCATGCGACGGGTTTCAATTTTTTGTGTATTGTTTGGAACATTTTGGAACTATTTTGGATATTTTTGGATTATGGTTCAATTGCAGAGGTTTCGGGCATGCGCAGCCAATGCATGGGCCTCTGCGCTTCAGTTGGCGTCCAAATGCGCTGGGGTTCCCAAAGCCAATCTGGAGTCATTCTACCGCATGGAGAGCATGGACTTGGAGAGCGCAGAAGCAGTGATTTGGGACGACATGGATGAGTTGATTGAGGGGGCCGAGGAAGAAGAGAACCAGGCTGCTGAAGAGAAGGCAAACCAGAGCACCTTGCATTGCATTCTTGATCAAGTCCGTGATTTGGCTGTTGAGGAGCAAGTTCCTGCAGAGTCAGAAGAGGATTTCCTCAACAACGCGGAAGCCAGTGATCCGGACGCCAAGATGCCAGATGGCCAGCAGCTCATAGATTTGATGTCAGGCACAAGCTCGGATGACGCAGAGAAGGCTGACCACTTCCTGAAAGAAGGCAACTTTCCAAGAACACTGAGGGAGGTTTTGCCATTTGGCAGATGTTTAGCGCAATTTTCAAGCAGACAGGGGCAGTAGGGGGATGTAGGGGGGCATTTTATAGCAAACTCATTTGGGATTTCTCTGTGGTGTCAGTGTGTGGGTGTTTGGGCATGGCATTTTATAGATCATCCATCATCATCCATCAAGGGTCAATGTTTTTAATCTACTGTATTTTAATTTAGAGAAACAAGTAGCAAGGGTATGCAAGGGTTGCATTTTGTAGAAACCTCATTTGGTATCATTTGGTTCTATTTGGTTTTATGTGGTGTCAGTGTGCTTGGATGTTTGGGCATTGCATTTTATAGACCATCCATCAAATGTCATCAAATGTCAATGTGTTCAGTTTAAAGAAGTATATAAACAAGGGTGGCATCTCATAGTAAATGTATGTGGCTTCTATGTAGTAACATTTTTCTGGATGTTTGGGCATGGCATTTTCTAGACGATAGATCGAGGTCACGTGATGGAGATCTCTTCAGCAATTTGTGGATGTTCGCAAACTTCTTGCGGGGAGGGAAAGCAGGCATGGACACCATGCACATGCGTGGAGCAGAGGAAGTCAGAGCACGCTGCAGGTCTTTGAATTGGCAGCAGATTCTTGACAAGTATTGGTCAGGTGTTTTTTTTAAATAGTGGTACGGAACGAGATATCATGTGCTTCCCTTTGGAGAGCTTCACCACAGGAGTGCTGAGAACGAGCTCAAGCAAATGCGCATCCTTGAGGATGAGTTGATGCAGGGGGCAAAAGGATCGCGCCTATCCAAGTGGATAGCTTCCTCAAAGAATCAGGACTTTGATCCAGCAGGCTTTAAGGAGCCAGAGAAGCTTCAGCTTTTTGGATTTATAGTTTAACTTTCACATACTTTCACCTCTTTTGATTTCTTTTGATCTCTTTTGATGGTTTGTATACGTGAGTTTGTTGGCATACGGGGGGAGAGCCTATGAAGTGGCGCTTCCTGGCTTTAATTCTTTAACCCTGTGCCAGGGTTTTTTGTCAAACATTCGACTCTGCATTTTATAGTGGCTGAAATGTATCTGATGAAGTCTGTAAAACACCACAGGATGCCACTGTTTTTCTGTAAAAAGCATAGACCAGGCTTAGATTTGCTCCAAACACACCAATAAGTCCTTGGCAGCGCCATTTCATAGTGATTCCATGTGACTACCAAAAAGAGCCAACCAGGTCAGGCATGATCGTGGCCCTGGTCACAGCGAGTGGCAAACCTGCTGACACTTACTTTGTCTTGACAGTGTGGCCACGGGCAAAAAAGCCTCGCCCAAGCGCTGCCGCTGTGCCCTTGGTTTTGGTGAAGACCTTTAGGGCCTGCCTTTTGCGCCAGAGGGATGATGCAGCTGCGTCCTTTGAGCCGACAGACTGTTGCGGCCATTTCCATCCTGACACCGTGTTCGCCATCTTGGACTGCAGTGAAGTGAATCATTCTGAAGGCCGAGTGGTGATTTCAGAGGAATCCTTGTTGGCTTTGGAGAGGCTCAAGCGGACTCAGCATCATGTTCCGGAAGCTTCTTCAGGGAAGTCTCGGAAGAGGAAGCGAGAGAAGAGCAACAAGGAAGAGAACCCTGAGAAGAGTGACAAGACTGCTGGAGCAAATTTGAAGAAGGGAGTCAAAGCGGCGCAAAAGATGGCTGAGAAGGCAAAGGCTTTGCAGAAGCACCCCATCAAATTGGTAGCCTCAGATATCAGAAAGTCGCACACTGGGCGCAAATGCATCCGCAACTTTGTTGAGCAGATCATGCAAAGGGAGGCGGTGATTTGCGCTGGCCATGCGACCTTCGATAGTGATGGGTTTTGCACTTTGAAGGAAATGCACTCGCTGTCAGACAAAGCTTTTCTGTCATCGATCGCTACCTTTTTTGAGCGTAGGTATTTTATGGCAAAGCCAGCTGTTTACAGTGACAAAGTGTTTAGCGACCTCATGGGCATTTGGAAGGATCTGAATTCAGACCCTCCATTGCGCAAGAAATGGCATGCCCTGCTGCACGATTTCCAGAAGAGCGGAGGCGCTGAAACTCTTCAGTGCTAGCGTGCGCTAGCTTTCGCTAGCTGAGGTCTTTGGGATTCTTTGGGAAGATTCAGGGAGACCAATGGCAGAACCAGCCACAGGTCTTGAAAACCTTGAATCCGTTTCTTTTCAGAAAATATGCGCTGTGGGTTGGACGCGAAAGCGTTTGGGGATGACCCACCAGAAGTATCCAGCAGTATCGCTCAAAGTTTCTGCAAAAAAAGAATTGAGCTGCGGAGGGGTCTGTGGAGTTTCTTTATTTTGTTGAATTCTGCGTTTCTCTTGTCCTTTCTTGTCCTTTCACCATTCATTTGTTGATCAATGCTTGATCACTGCAATCTGCACTTTATAGATAGCAGTCCGTTTTTTAACTAAGGTCATACACACGCCCTGACATATGCATTTTATAGTGTCAGGTGTCTTTCTGCTTGAGTAGTCTTGGTTGGCATTTTATAGAACTCCTCCTGACAGTTTTTTGCAGCCTGTGTCACCCATGCCTGGATGTTGATCCAGGCATTTTATACACATGTCTAGCCTGGCATTCTATAGTAATTTTATGTCTGGGTAGGCATTTTATAGACACCATTTCTCTATGAATTGCCCGGATAGACACCCTACCCCACAATGACCGGGGATTATCAGCTAATGAATCATAATCATTGGCCTCAGAAGGAATTCAAACCCTTATTGAATAGGTTCCCAATATAAAAAATTTAGGGCCCCCAAAAAAGTTAGCATTATTCAGGAACCATTTTTCAAACATGGGGTCTGGAATAATTTTGGAAAAATTTAGCATTATAGAGGGCCCATTTACTAATCAGCATCCAACATTAAGCAATGGAACCGAAAGGGAGTGACACTAATGGTGCAATGATTGCCACCACATTCTTTTCCACAAACGTAATTAGCCGCTTGAGCAGTTGTGATTCAGATCAAGACCTATTCGCAGGTGGCAGCTCTCCGTTCAGTAGTATGTGTGTGTTTACTCATTCACCTGCAGGTGGCATTTGTTCAAAACGATGCACATGGGGATCACCGATCATCTCATGGGGTCTGAAGTGTTTGCAAAGTTCTGGAACAGAACCCATTCTTGCTAGTAGACGTAGACTTGACCATGTACACATTAGATCATAGTAGCACAGTCAGTGCATCCCGCCAAAAACAACCTTTTAGGATAATGTTGAGCCATAAAAAGTCCATGACGACAGGAGATATACAACATCATGCAATACTCAACTTAAACACATAAGACATCAAGACATCGCAAGATTGTTTTTAGATGCGTTTGGCTTGTCTCTGCCACTTTTGAGGTCATAGCCCCGCATACCTGGACGGCCTCAATCAGCCATGGCCAAAAGCATTCGCCAACTACGCTGTCCTTGCCCCGCTGGTGTGATTAATGTGTTTCAAGAGAACAAGCAAATTGCGTCGAATTGCTTGAAAGCGGTTGGAAGTAAAAATGAGTCTCGCACAGTCTTGCATGTCTTGCTTTGCTGCCAGGAGAGCCTATTTGGACAAGACAACAAAGCGAACCTCTCAGCGCATCTCGAGCTGCGAATCGACCTTGGGAACCTTGGGACATGTTCTTTGCCGAAACCAAGGTTGGTATTCCATGCTTGCCAGATATGTGCAACCTGCGGCAGAGAATAGTCGAGAATGCACGGCGCCAAGAAATGAGCTGAAAAGATGCAACCTTCAAAGCTGAATGCATATTGAATCCTCGCAACAAAGCAAGAAACAGCCAAAGGAGGTCTCTCACTTGGAACCGGATAAAAGGATGTTATAACCTGGCGCTAGAATGTTCACCCTAGTAAAAGAAATGTGGTGTCTCCTTAATAATCCTGAGTGTTTGAATGACCATGATTGGTCGATACTTTGAGGAATGGCTCTTGATTGGTGTATGTATTTTTCTTGTGCTGAGCAACTGCATCGGTCGCACGTCCGACCTGTTTGAACATGCAGAGATTCTTGAGCTTCCAACTTTCATTCGCTTTAGTATGCACTGAAAAAGGTCAGGGTGCCTTTGTGTGAACAAGACCCTTTGAATCCCTTTGACCTCAAAGGGAAGTGCCAGACCGTGACCAGACAGTATTGCATTCATTTCGCGCTCAGCGCAGCCAACACGGACAGCGAATATTTGCCGTGCAATTGTGCCTGCAAAGAGTGTGTTGGGTCAATATCGTTTGCAAGTCAGCCAAAGCGACTGGAGGATTGTCCCCTTTAAGAATATGTTTAAATATAACTAAATTAATATATAATTATATAACTATACTATAGGCCTTTGCAGAGTCATGCAGGAACAGAAAGCGCTAACATGAAGAGCACACCACCCACTGGCAGTAACGTCCGCAGCCCTCGTCAGAGGTGAAGCCATTCTCGTGACAGGCGCATGCAGTTCCTGTGCACGGCCCTGCTGCAGTCAAAGTTCCAATTCACTTGCTGTATCTTGCTGTGGCTTGATATCCAGTGGGCTTTGTGCCCGAATGTTCACCCTCTTGCCTGCAAGCATCATCATTTTCTGCAGAACCTACAGCGCCATTTTTGGCAGCTTTGTGACAAGATGGGATTGTCCACCGGTCGCGGTACTTGTTCATGAGTATGCTTTAGTTGCCTAGTTTGCCATGCAACCTTTGTTTGCGGTCACCTCAATCCCAAATGGTTGCTCCAGCAGCCATTTGTTCGTTGAATAAGCGCTGCAGCCTATGAAAATGAGTCAAATGAGTAATTGCATGCTGCATGGATGTGTTGTCCAACCTCATAGCTTCAATGGGCAATGGAAATGGATGCGTTGGATTATCCGCAATTCTTTTTGAACCCTTGTTGATACTCGTAAATGCTAACAACGAGACATAATGAGAATGTTTTTGGCAACGGAACTTGCATCTTGGTTCAGCACTTGAACGGACACGCGTTGGACGGCTAGCTCTTCGTTCGTGCATCCATGGCTGAACTGGTATCAACCCAAGCTTGCCAGGTTGGTGTTTCGAAACGTGGATCAGAAGAAGAAAGGCCACATGCCTTTGCTGCCTCAATGCTTTGCACAGCTGCAGCAGAAGGATTGTCAAGCATGTTCTGTAAGTTCTGTATGTTTGTAGAAAGCTTGCATGAGGCGCAAAAGTTGCTGGAGCGACAGAAGCAAGCAGAGGAATTCCGAAAAACCAGGCATGAGCAGTGCCTTGTCTGCAGATGCACTAAGTACACTAAAATGGTGTCACAGCATGAAAGAAGTTGAGTGCTAATGCCGACCATGCTTTCATTCATGTTCTTTGTCCACCAACGAAATGGTTGACATGGCCCAGGCAACCGCGAAGGAGTTCTTGGTGGTGACAATGGTAACAAGCAAGCTTTGAGTGATGGACGCCCGGAATGGACCCAAAAGCTGCCTCAAGCTCGTGACATTGATATTGCTCGCAAAAGCACATAAATACCGTTTGGATGAGCTTGCTTCGATGCTTCCAGTTTACCCCTTTCAAGTTATATAATATTATATACATTATTTTACTGTTGCTTTGGAAAGTTCAAGAGAACCATGGAGAACCTGTGTCTAATTCAGTCTCTTGACGCTTTGGATGCCTCAAATGTGAAGCTCCAATTAAAGCTTTGGGAGAGGTTTGTTCAGTCCAGAAGAGACGAGAGCAGTGGAACAAAGAAGAACGATTGCTTGCGGAGTACCAAGACGGCGGAATTTGCCGGGTTGCTGGCGGTTGCCTTCTTTGTTTTGCGTCAAAGAAACAGTTTCAATAGTTCCGTCCTCCGTTGAGCTCATTCGAAACCTGCGCCTGAATAGTGCATGTCATCTGACACCAATCTTGAAATTTCAAGCTATCAAGGAAGGGCTTTGGACTGTCAACAGCTCGTTATCATGGAGCCTGCGCGCGATCACAGAGAACTTGGTCTCTTATGAATAAAGTGCACACCTGCAAGATGTAGTTTGTAGAAAGAGCAAATGAGAACACGTTGTTCAATTCCAGGTGCGTAAAAAGACACGTACTAAAGTGGTTGAACAAACGCAAAATATGGCAAGCTGCTTAGCCTTTGACACAAAACAATTGCAGCCTTTGAACCCACCAGCATCTAAACTGCAGCATGCAGTTTCAGGCAGCTGGTTTGGTTGTTTGACATTGATATTGCTATGAGCAGTATGTGTTTGTATGTGTTTACGATTTGACATGTGCTCATGCTTGTTTTGCACGCAGGGCTTTGGTGCAAACTCAGGCAGGCAACTGATGGCAGTGTGAATTTGTTTTTGTTGTGCCGCAGTGCGTTTGCAGGCAGAGCGTTTGCAGTTTCCAGCTTTGACCAACAGGCTGTGCGAGTGGTTGCGGCGGTTGCAATGGAGCATCGCTGACACAACCTGGAGGAAAACCCGTCTCAAGGCAACATCGTGTCATATTCCTGCATGTTAGCCTGTCACAGCAGGTCCAGCAGCCGGCACCCGAGATGAAGACAAGACTCTAGAGTGTATCTCTATGTGCTCATTTTTTGCCAAGCCGTACCCGTGAAGGTAGACGGGTTAGTGTATCATTCTGGTTTGTGCGTGGCCTTGCTGAGGCACCAAGTGCACAAACACCGTCACCCCTTTTGCGGATCAGAGCTGGCATTGAGGCTCCGAAGCACAAGCAGCCCCACTCTACTGACTTGGACGGCTGAAAATGTAAGGCTGGCAATCACGCAGAGGTTACAGCCGGTGTGAAAGAGGCTCGGGCCTTTTTGCGAACAGCGCGCCATAGCTTTCTATATGCGCCATGTCATAATCGTCACAATATCAGGGGCGGCTGGCTTTGGCTTTTTCAGTAGAACGGTGGGCTTGCCTGTCAAGACGCGCTGGAGGACGTGGAAACTGCGTGGCCCCTAGGTTCACCGGTATTTACGTAATATTTCGTATGTGTACACACAAACTGCACGTCCCTGATGCTCAATGTTCACTCTAACAGGAAGTGGAGGTCTTGTGGAGCGAACGGCTGTTTGGGCGGCTCGAACCAAAATGTGGTACCTCAATCATCCAAAACTACCAAGCATGCCTACAAAGTATGGAAAAGCAGTAAAAAGTACCAATTCACCGGTTGTGTCTCCGTCGGGCTAGAACCTAGAACCTTGTCGGTTCATTGATGACAATGACCCACCACTCGACCACCATTTAATCACACGACTCTTCGATAACAAACGTTGTGACAACGATGACACTGATGACACTGTTGTCAAATCGATGACAATGTGATTGAAATCGATGAAATTCAATGGTTCCGAATAGGAGACCGTTTTTGTAAATAGTAAAGACGCTGTTAACAATTAAAAGTATGTTGCTCCTCAACGTCCAAGCCGAGGGAAAAAAATGGCGCAGTGTTTCTTTTTTGGGGTTTCCTCATACATTTTGTCAACCATGCGGTGTAGCTGCCAATTTGCCAGGCGGATCAGCAAGGTGTTGCGTTGGCTCCGAATGTCAGAGAGATGATCTCTCAGTGGCTAGCAGTCTTCCGGGCTTGTTTCCACAGAAATGTCCTTATACCGTATCCAGATTACCTAACTCCTTGCCAGGTAAACGCACCCAAGAAGTGCCCCTGCTTGTTTGGAGAAGGGCATTTGAGGGTAGTTTGGAAGACATATTATTTTACTCATATATGATACACATTTGCTTGTGTCGTTTTCAGATCACTTCAAGTTTCTAAGCCGAAACCTCAGAATATTCGGACTTTTGGTTTGCCGCGCTAGGCCTGAGAAGCCTGCACCTCCTCCAGAGCCAGCTCCTCCAGGAGCAGCAACTCCGTTGATCAGAATCGATTTCATTAGCATTTGTTTCATCGCATTCTCTCATTTGTCATCTTTCACATGTTTGGTCACACTGCAATCCAATGCATGTTTTCACAACAGGCATGATTATTTTAGGTATTTTGGACATGGTGTTGCAGTTTGGAAAAACAAAATGTTTTATGAAACCCAAGTTCAATTCGCGGTGAACTGATCAGGTATGGTTAGCCTTGGGGGGTTCTTGGAAAGTTTTAGCCCTTAGGTAGAATGGCACACAGCAATCCAACCTCTGATGGCCGGTTGTGAACCCACCGTTTCCGATCCAGCACTAGACATGTAAATTACATTGGAAAAACTTGTAAGTGGCCTCTTGCACAACACAGCCAACTTTGTTTTTTGTGGGTACTTGGTTTCACGCACACTTTCTGGATATCCAGGTGACAATTTGTGCATGCTGCGCCTCTATATTCTCAGAGGATTCAATTCAAGTATTCACATATGTGAAGGTTGGGCTTGTCCTTCTCAAACCAGAAAGACATACTTGGTTGAGATTTCTACGCGAGCCTCTCAAGCTGAACCTTCCTGGAAGGAGGCATGACTATTCATTTGCTTCAATATGTTTTCCTTGGCACATCTCAAGTCACATCATGATACCCTGTTGATTCCTGTTGTGAGTTTCTTCTCCGCCCACCGACTGTTTCGTTTACATTTGCCAGATACCATGCTCACCTTACTATATTTTGGAGGGGTATTTGTTTGATCTTTGTTTTTTGATTTGTTTGTTTCTGCCTCTTGCTGCTTGTGGTGCTTTTCCTTGCTTTTCTGTGCTTGCCTTGCTTTTCCTGGCTTCTCTATGATCTCTCCTGCTTTCATTGCTTCTCAGTGTTTCTCTGTTTTTCTTGCTGTTCCTGCCTTTCTGTGCTTCTGTTGCTTTCCTTGCTTTTCATTGCTTCTTTGTGAATCCTCTTTGTTTTCTTGCTTTTGCTGCTGGTGTTGTGCTTGGTTTAGTTTGCCCGCCTTTTCTCCTGCTTGGCTTTAATTTCCTTCTTCTCGTCTGTTTGCAGCGTATGGATTCCCTTTTGCATGTTTTTTTCTATGGTCTTTGTTGCTGCCGCTTTTGATTTAGTTGTCTTTCAGTCCTTGAGTCAGGGAGTCGTAATGATGTCTTGTTTGCTTTTCTGCCTTTGTATGCTTTTCCTGCTCTTGGTGTTCTGCACTACTGGCGATGCATTTGTCTCTTGTTCGCCGTGCGGCCGATGTTTTGTTTTAAAAAAGAGACCGCTAATACAGACAAGTTAAGGTCTATCACTTCACCATGTGTTGCAGAAATAGAAAGCATGTAGACGCAAGACCAGCACAACCCCACAAGAGTGGATGCTAAGGGCCACCCGGCTTTTGCCCTCTCACATATGATGCGGATGCTAAGATCAGGACTTTGAGGTCCACTTAGTGCTGTGGTAGCCATGAAATCTGCACTAAGTTACTAAGATCATCGAGTGCCGTGCCTTTTACAACATCTTTTCCAGGTTACAAAACCCTTCGCACGCCATGATGATTTTTTGGAAGCTCGAAGAGTGCTGCGCCTGCTACCGGAGAAAGACAATGAAGCAGCAACTGAATATAGATACCTCTTTGAGATGCTTCACCAGCTGTTGCACTAATATGAAGCATGTACACATCAGACCACCGCAACCCCACAACGGTGGATGCTAAGGGCCACCAGGCTTTGGCCATTTGACAAATGACTTGGATGCTTAGATTAGGGAGGTTTACAAAGCGCTGCCAAGGTAAAATCTGGCAAAATTTAGAGAAGGAAAGGGACCATTCCAACATAGCACATCTTCTATGAGCAGGTTAAGCCGTAGGATACCTTTTGTAAGCCACCTAAGGGCATACAGTGCTGCGCCTGCCCGCAAAAATCAGCTTAAAAAGACAAAACCTTTGAATCGTGGCGCAACACCATCACGACCCACAACGGTGGATCTCAAGGGTTACCAGGTCTGACATTACAAGACCTGCATGTTAAGATCAGCGCTCCGTGCTTCCCAAAGTGCACTCCGAGGTTAACAAAACTCTGCGCGCCAGGAAATTTGCATGTCCAGCCACACCAGCACAAAATAAAACAATAAGCCAACAACATAATGAAAAATCCAGAATTCATTCCAGGACCTATTATAATTTATAGTTGGCAACTTGGCCATACACACATACACATACACGCATCCCCTCCAGACTCTAGTAGTTTATCTCAGCATCACTCCCTTGATGAAGCTGTAGGACGTGTTGTCCTGCCTTGGTAACAGTAGCTTGATAAGGTCAAGTCCATGGGCAACTACATGTATATATATGTGTGTGTACAATATTGAATTATTACATTGAATACCAGTGGAGTGGTTCTGACTAGAAATATGCTTTACAGGAACTATATAGCTGACTCCAGTTTTGGAAACAATGGTCATCCATGGCCGATGTTACGAGGTGGCAGTGTACAAGGTTTTCGTTTCATGTGTGCAAGGACCTGAAAGTCCCAAAGAACCTGAAGCTGTCACCACATCGGAGAAGCTTCGCAATGCACTTCTCAGGTGATTTAGCCCACGAGACAAAATTGCAGGTTGAAAGAAAGTACAAAAGGACTGCAAGAAGGAAACACACATGTCCAGCAGAAGACCAACACCTAGACATCACTGGGTCAGCCTGGTCAGGCTTTTTGAGCTGGCTCCAAAAGATAGCGATGCGGCAGCTGGATTGGGGCGCGGACGCTCTGCCAGCGGTTCCACGGTTTTCTTTTGAGTGGAATCCTTTCCATTGAGGATATTCGAAGGCGAAGACGGGCAAAGGTGCAGAAACTACATTGTGATTGTCAAGCTGCTGATGCTAGTGACTAGTGGCACCAGGTACCTTCCCCTTCCTGTGCTTGGGCGAGCTGTCGGAATTACGGGCGAGGACTTCGAAGTGGCAATGAAAGCTTGGACAGTTGTCAATGAGGCCCATGCTCCTCTTAGACATGTGTACATATATATATACACACATATGGTTATATAGAAGTTTTTGAACTTGTGTGAGCCTGCTGCGTGTCGTTCAGACACCAGCTGGGACATTCACCCTCACGGAGGATGCCAGGGCAGTTGGTCACAGGCTTAAAGTTATCTTTGCCCTTGCAAAGTGCATCAGCTGGTCATGTCAAAACTACATTTACTTTTTGTAGAATGCCCAGGCCATGTAGTAAAGAGGATTTGACTGTAGTGAAAAGCATGTCCAATCAATCAGACACTTTTGTGAGCTTCTGCATAACAGCCCTGTCTTTGCGGAGTTGTATATATAAATAGATTAATTAGGTTGCCTGGAGAATGACGCAAAGGTTCACGAGCATGACAAGAACAACGATGTTCGCAGACAACATGCACCAAAAGGGATACCAAGATGGAGACAAGTGGCAGCTCTTGATTCTTGCCCAGGCCTGGTAGAGTGGGCTGGCTGGGAGGACTGGACTGCTTCGCATTTTTCTGTTTCTCATCAGACAGAGCTGAAAACTGAGGAGTTCTCAAGTTCCTTGGATGTGATCGTAAAGGGCACACGGGATCCAGCATTCGAGCCCAGGTGCGGTACATGTTCTGGCGTTGCTTGGAAAACAGATAAACATGGTTAATGTCCCCCTGCAAGTTTGATCAAGTTTGCCAGTGTTATCCACCTACTGTGTGTGCACGTTGCTTTGACCCGTGTTGTGCTTATTCTCGCAGAAGAATACTTTTGTTGTAGCGTGTGCACTGTTGTTCACACGGGCTGTTGTGCACATAGTTTCATGTTTCTTGTTAGAGAGGTGGAACCGACAATGTGGTGATTGCCTGCAGACTTCACACAATCTAAAGAGAACAGGAAACTCTCCAGAGTTGGTTCCTTGCCGCCCTCCTTGCCCACCTCTGATATCCTTGTTGGTGTCAGTTGATGCCCTTTCCTTCATTTAGGACCGCTGTCCCTTGCATTCCGTTACATTGTTTTACTTGTTTGTTGCTTCGAAGTTCTTTATAATACGTTGTTCCTTCCAGTTCCAGTTTGTTATTGCTCCATTCAGGTTCTTATTCAATCCTATTCAGCAGCCTCGAGTTTTTCCTGGAATGTCTTTTTGGTTCCACTAAATATAAGGTACTTATGTTGGAGGTTCAATTTGGCACAGGGAGCTGGTTAGGCTTGCAGTGGTTCTATCAATGTCATTTGAGGCTCCCGTATTGCCTCAGGATTTGTTTCTTTTAGCCAAAAGCCCTGCAATGCAGCAGGTAGTGTGGTGAATGAAGTTGCCTTGATTGACTGTCTTGAAAAAATCGTGCATTGTCTCAGTTGTGATCTGGTAGGTCCATCCAGGGGCATGTTGCAAGAGCTGCAAGAGGTGCGGTGCGTTCTGGGCCCTTACGTCAAGCTGACGTGCTCCGCCGTCTTCAGGCGCAATATGAAGCCCGACTCAAACGAATTGAACAAAATAATACGGCCTTGACAGCGCGCACTGTCAGGAGCTGTCCTCCGAAAATTTGCCTGAGGACCCCACTTGCTACCCACACGCAAGACATCACAAGACTGGATGGGCTGTTTTCAGAGGACGCGGCTCCTGCTTTGAAGAGTGCCATTCAACGCAGAGCACGGCTTGCTCTTGCGCATGGCACTTACAAGAAACAACCATCCCTGTCATAATTTAATACACACAACTATTTCTTGTTTGTTTCGTAGTCGTCTTAGGTGCTTAGTAGATGCAATTGCATCTCAGGGTCTCGGCCCACAGGAGCGGAATAGGACTCAAGCGCATTCGGAATTGACTCAAAAATATCCAAAATACGTTGCATGGAGGCTGGCTTAGATTCCATGGGTCTCGTTGGGCAGCTACCGAGGACCGGGTTTTTTGTTCCTGTCACAGATCAATGTGTTCCCCTGGACAATCATTGATCAGTCGAGACGGGAGGTTCTTCGAAGGGTTCAATAGGTTGTGGTGAGAAGCTTGCGCACTGATGTTTGAATGGCTATCTTAGGCATCAACTTGCGCGAACAAATTTCAAATACGCGCATGTTGAGTCCGTGCAAAGGCTCTCAATGATGAGCTTTATGTAAGGCATGCATGCAAACTGCTTGTAATTGTGTTGCTATGATTCTCGGGCATGCGCGAAGGAAGCGTGTGGATGTGCTCGAAACCCTATGTTTCGCCATGGAAAAAAGAGCTGGTGCGCTTTACGCTGTTAAAACTAGTGTATTCTGACGGTGTCCGAAATGAGGTCCGAGGTGAGTCGCGTGGCTTGTGTCTTTTTCACAACGACCACAATGCCTGTTTGAAGCATTGGGACGGTGCGCGGAGGCCGTTCGCTTTTGAGCAAAAGAGGGCAGAAGTTGCGGCTCTTCGCCTTCAAGCTCACAAACATCAGACTTTTAGCCAGATCCGACCTGTGGGCAAGGATTATGCTGACGCTTTGGAGCGCATTGAGGCACATATCATGGAGGTTGATCCAACTGGCACACAGTTTACCGTGGATCACTCCATCGGGCAAGGCCTCCATGATTCCCAACCTTGGCTGATATACCGTGTCGAGACCGCCGCACCCAGGTCCCAACGGTCCTCCAGGAGCGTAGGACTAAACATCAGGACATCTCCGTGGAGATTTGGACTTGAGTGTTGGCCTTCCTTCCTGCCTAGTCGCCCTTTGGAATACAGGCCTCTGAGTTTGACTGCTTGGCACCATACACTGCTCGTTCCGCTCGTGGGCCTGGTTTTCAACCACGCGATTTGCAGGTGATGCCCTGAGATTGTACCCGCCAGATCTTACAGTTGTTCATGGCTGTGGAGCTCGTCAATCAGATGCCTTGGTCTGCTCAGCTGAGGACTGGCTTTGCAGCCGCTTTGGCCCAGGTCCCTACAGAGACAGTTCCCCAATACCGCCCAGTCATCATCTTTTCGACATTGGGCTTCGGTCTGCGCGAAGCCGATGTTGCAACACTTAGCAGGCAGGACTGGCCACCTCTTCTCAGTTTATGCTTTTATTGGGCAGGGAGGCCCTGCACGTTTCCATTGTACTTCAAAGACGTCTTGAATTGACCCACGCAGCCAACTCGGAGTTGCTTGGATTGGTTGCAGACATTTCCTGTCCACGCTGGCCCTGGCCAAACACGTTGGCGTGCCGGCGCCCATTGTTCATGCGCGGAGTACATTTTTGGGTTCCATGACTGGCAGGTTTCAAACCCGAGGAGAAACTGGTCCAGCTCTTGGAACCAATGCCGGAGTACCGGAGGGCCGGAGGGATGCGCTTTGAGTTGCGTGGCAATGGCGATCATCGATCTTTGTTACCACTGTTACATGGATCATTTCGCTCCAGACAGTGCGCCTGCGTCGTTCGTTGACCATTTGCCACTCCTGACCACTCGCTTGGCGGGCCTCCAACACAGCACCATAGCGACGCGAGAGTTCTTTGCGCAATGGCGCTAGGATCTGGGTGACGCAACACATTTGTCTGGTCTGCCTACCACACCGCTCTTGCCGTGATGGGCTTCGATTTAGGAGTTCAGTGCAGCTACACGGGCCGCAGGTCCATTGCCGAGCAGAGCAAGCGGCTGAAGGCCTTAGATCCTCTGCGGCCCAAGTTGCGACGAATCGACTTTGCAGAAGATCAGAAACACCATGCGTTGCGACAATGCTTAAGAGCAAGGTATGCCACGGCATTTCAGTGTGCCTTCTTGGCAGTGCTCACGCGCAGAAGTTGCGCGCAGGCAGCGCGCTCCCTGGGCCATATGGACAGGCCGGATTGTCCCCCCTGCTGCGGCCTGCACTCTCAGGCCCACTGCGCGCCGACCCTGTGTACTACCAGATCGCTCACGGACTTCAAACAGATGCTGATTCGACAGGAGGCTTTGCTTTCTATTTTTTCACTGCGCTGGAGAGTTGACACACCTCCAATGTTGACCGCCCACTTCGACATTACCTTCAACCTGAAGGAGGCTCCCATGGAGCTCCTCGAGTCTCTGTTGGAAGATGGTTGTGACCCAATCGGTGGCGCGGTGTAGTGCGAGGGCTGGCTCAGGTTGATCGCCGACAAGTCTTCAGACGCCGCAAAGAACTTTTGGACACAGCGAAGGCGAGGGCTTCGGGTTTGCCGGATGCGTCCTTCATTACCGCTAGTCAACATTGCAATTATGATAACACGCAAACTGTCTATTGCCCATGGTGCGGTGCTCAAGACACTATTGAATTGAAGCGCAACCGGAGCCCAGCCTCCGAATTCCTTTCATGAGAACTGTCACCTATGGAGGAGGTGGACCGTGGTGCCCCTGTTCAGAGATGGCAGTTGCCTTCAACCTATCTGCCCAAAATGCTCCCCCGCCTGCTGCCATAGCATTGACAGAGCGGAGGCTGGCCTGGCCTGACTGCCAAGAGTGTCGGGCTAGATTGTGGACTGACAGTAGCTACGCGGCTCTTGGTGGTTGGCGTTTGCTAGAGGACGCATGGTGCTTGCCATGTGAGAGCCAACGATCTGTGGCAGGGCTCAGCCGTGTGGGTTGTCGCTTCACATGCTGTCATGTCCCATCCCATGTTCATGAAGCTGACTGCGCTAGTTTTTTTTGGAAGAGCTGGCTGACACTCTGGAATGCAGCCGATGCTGCAGCGAAGATGGCGCATACACATCATTCGACTGAGGTTCTGGGTCTGTGGTCCGCAGCACTGTGTAAGTCGCCGGACAGTCGATCGCCGGCTTCAGCGCTTGCGTGTGGCAGTGGCTGGAATGTGAGTGGGTCGAGGCACCCCACAATGTTTGGCTCCCCGGGAGGTAGCTTAGATTTCCACTTGGGGTGAATAGCTTCCGTTGAATTGGGCACATTTGCTTAACTGCGTCGTTCTTTAAATCGGTGTGTTCTGAGCTTTCTCTTGATTTGATTAGAGTTCGGGGTATCAACCTGGCAGCCGTTGGGGTCTCCCCACCCCAATCTGGTTTGATTTTGCGTTGTCGGTCAAGCACAGGACGCCGTGTGATCTTTTTGTAGGGATACTGTAGGCCGGTCCGCTTTTCGAATGACTTGCAGCCTGTGACCTTGTGAGAGCTGGGACCTGCAGTTGGGCGTGGACTGCTCCTTTCCGCTTGCTGCGCGTGAGCGAAAGAGGCCAGTACATCCAGAACGCTTTCTAGATCAGGCCTTAAGAACACGGGGTCATCCTTAAGCGTAAGCGTTGCTACATCCCTAAGGGGTAAGTGCACCATGTTCAATTTATATAGTGGAGGTTTTTTATATGATACAGTTCTTCTCTCCACCAAAACTAGGACCATGAATTTCTTCCATGCCTTAAGTACATCTATATATATACATACAGAAGATTAATCGGTTTACTGTCACATTATGTTTAACAACTCTAACTTTCCAACTGTCAGGATCCAAGATATTTGTATGGATGTGGCAAAATATTTGAAAATAACATTAACTTTCGTAACCTTCGATAGCTCAAAAGGTGGAGCACACCAAATACCTCGGTTGACCAAAGGACACGTTTATGTTTGCAGAAGTGAACAAGCATATTGCTTCAGCGATGGAGGACATCACCCCTATCAAACCTTTAAACCTCATCATGCGACGTTCGATGGAAACTGTTGATATTTGTTTGTGTTTGTTCCATTGTTTACCAGACTTTACAGCTTAGCACGAATGCATTTAACCCCTGCGCGCGTGAGCCGCCTCAATGCTTCTCAGCAACGGTAATTGTGACCTTTTTTAGATGTACTACCCATCTTCATGGACTGGTCTTTGACATACACAGGAGTGTTCGAAGTTGATTTTCGGCACCATATTATACATGATTATGGATTTCCACAGACATCTGTGGCTGACATGACGATTGTGCCTGAGCGGTTAAAAACTGGATTTGGTATATAGTTATAAGCTGTGAAAGGTGTCACAGGGTTTGTTTTGACCCAGGCCCAGGCTTCTCTCAGGGCATTATAAGCCCAACTACTACATCCAACTACTTCCAGGCCCTTCCGGCAAATGGATTAGTGGAGTAGCAAGACTGTTCTGCAGGGTTAGCAAGAGGACATTCAAAGGTTTTAGCTTCTTGTCAGACTTCACTACAGACACTCATGACCTGTTTGCACACATGTTCAGAGCCCAATACCGCAGCGGCTTTCTCAAGCCAGTGGAAGTGAAAAGAGCCGCTTCTACCTTTGACATGGTAGCGGAGCTCGAGGATTGGTCCAAAGGACCATGAGGGCTCGTAGGTTGACGCCATGGTGGCTTTGGGCGATCACGATGATCGCATGCGCGATGGAAAGGTGCCAGGATGATCCTGAGCTGGCAACCTCAATCGAGCCCAACATCACGACAGGGCATCAGGACTGGAATTCGATGAAGTTGATGGTTGCTACATCCTCGACTTCCTGGAGTACAAGAGATGAAGAAAGGTTGGCTGACACTACATCCTTGAGATCACGGAGAGCAAGAATGGCAGAGGATCCCACTACATCATGGACATCGACATCACGATCTTCCTGGTGGATGATGCAGAGCACTTCGACATGTTCGAGCTGGAGAGATAGAAGCTGGCTCCAAGCTCAAGCTCACGACACCTGCGACCTTGGGTTCGAGTCCCAGGGCAATGCCCTAAGTCGCCCAAATTAGTAATTTTACTAACCATAAAATTTACGTAAATTTTTGGTTTTACTAAGGAAAATTTACGTAAAAAATTACGTAAATTTAATAGTAAATCCAATTTAGGTTATGAGTAAATCCAATTTAGGTTATTAGCAAATCCAATTTAGGTTATTAGTAAATTTTTTAGGTTATGAGTAAATTTTTGCGAGCATGATTTTGAAGCAGAAAATGTCTCTATTTATGTGAGTTGGCTTTCTCCAAAGAGGCAGGTTTT